TATATAAGTTACCGGATGGCGAAAGTATTAATCATTTATTTACGTACCGCAGGCTCAAGTGTTTCGCTCAATCTATACCTCGCTTTTGGCCAAACAAAATGACCTTGCCGTTTTTGGCTACAGCACAAGGAAGACATGAACAGATACATGTAATTTGTAAACCGTGTATGCAGGCCTGAGTAACAAACAGTTTCTTAACGTTGAACTTTTTCATTTTGCAAATATCACAACACACCCCTGAATGGAAAAAGGCTTTATGGGCTTGTTCGAAAGCTAGACTTCCCTTACATCACAGGTAGTTCCTTCATGAACAATGCCTCACAACACCCTTTTATAATTTATTTTCCAAGTTCAGTGGCTCACAGGCACTTTGATTATAGTATCTTCTTAGCCGACTTTTACATTTGCCACAGGGCACTTTTGCCCTTAGTTGAGAGATGGACCATTATTTTTCTGAGGGGGTAGAGGGAAAGTGGGCAATCTTCTGGGGCATGATTTTTTTTTTCTCACCTTTAGGTTGTGCACTACTTTTTTGGGTGGGCAATAGTTTGTGCATGAATTTTTTTAACATCAAAAACCGCACCTGGAGAGTAGAAAACACTTGCTCGATTTTTCATGGCTCCCCTTGCACGACTTTTATTTCCGTAGTTTTTGCTGTGCATGCAGGAATTATTTTCTGGAAATTGCCCAACAACCCACCCCCGCTCCCTCCGTTCAAAAATGTAGATCCGTCCATTAACTAGAGTTTTACCAATCAAAACCGGTGAAATCTCCGTCATGTCCAGAGCACATTGTTTCGAATGTTCTCTACACGTAATCATCTCAAAGTCAACTAAAAATTGCCCTGTTTCTGTGCATTTCGCTTTCGTTTTGGGCGAAGTCTACAAACACTTCTTTCATTCCAAGCTCAGTGAAGAGGGACATATTGTACTATGCACCAGTTCTCTTAATCATACAATTAGTGTGATTCAAACTTAAGTAATATGTATTAACATTTTTCTAAATTGTTTATTTTCTTTAGTGGCCATGTCACAAAGACGAAGAAACGATGGTGCATCAAGCTGGTATGACAAAACTGTTAATACAGAGTATCAAGAAGAGGTGATGCCAATCTCCAAGGGCAAGTTAGAAAAAAGGATGTAGACTTCCTTCCTTCCTTCGATTCCTCCCCTCCTTCCTCCCCTCCTCCCTTTGCTTGCTTGTTGCTTACTTCCTTTCTCCCTTCCTTCCTTCCTTCTTCCTCCTCCTCTTCACTCCCTCCCTTCTTCACTCCTTCTCCCTATCTCCCTCCCTCAAGCTCAATTGGAATTTCCAGAGGGGTAGGGGGTCTTGGAAAAAATCTCTTCCGTGGGGGAGGTATGGATAGTTTCACATCATGAAGTACTGATGGGGATTTTCAACTGCAGTCCACAAGGTTTAAAAATAATGTTGCTCTTTTGTTGGTAGCCACTGGTGTAACATCACCATCAGATGTAAGTAAATATGTTTCTCTTGCTTTTTGACATTGTTTTTCTTATTCCGCAGTATTATTTTTTCAATAAGACCTTTTTTAACATCAAAGTCTATGGGAACCTTATACACCATATTAGTCATTGGCATGCATCTCATTTGTGATGTTAATCAACATTGCGAGGAAATAGTTCTTAACTCAAACATGAAAATTTTTTAAACTCAAGAATTCTCATGGTAGCTTACAATTTGAATGCATAAATGCTACTGCATGTTAAATGTTAAGTTTATGTTAGTCATTGACAGTTCCTACATGTCAGTAAAGATGTTGGATCATGTGTACTGAAGGCATCTTAGCCTACGAACAAGCTCCCAGCGAGGAAGAAAAAAACATCAGCGAGCACGAAACAGAAGAATGTTGAATGAATTGATCAGGGCGGGACGGGGGAGCCTGTAGACTTGTTTTTGATATGCCTGTCCACCCTTCCGGTGATTAGTCTGCAACAAATCCGCGGACCTTTCAAGAAGCTACATTTTCTGTACTTGTAAACAGTTCTAATCGAAGACCCAATCAAACAGCCGGCCCAGTGTCATGATATACAGTGCAAGTAAGTAACATGTTCATGGAATATTTAAAACTTTGTCCCTCCAGAGCCAATACTTAAGAGAGCTTAACACATATTTTTCAATACTGAAATGAGCCCAAAGAAATTATAAGTACATGATAGAGGTGTCAAACTCCGCGAAGAGAAAGGCAAATAACAGTGAAAAGTCCAGAAGCCATGCCTTTGACCTCTAAAACAAATTGCTATAGCACAGCCAAACAGCTCCACTCTACTGGCTTCCCCTAAAATTCCTCCTCATAACAGAGCATAAAGTACCCTTCAGAATCACTTGTGAAATAACAAAAGGTTCAGAGACCAAAAATTAAAAGAGAACGGCAAATGCACAATTGCCACAAACTGTAGGAGTTGTGTAGGACAGTCAACCGTATTTTACCAAGACCTGTCAAATATTTATCTCAAAAATGTCAACAATCAGTGATTTAACCAATCATATCCTGATACCAGGAGCTGGTATCATAGAACGGCGGTATCAACTGAATGTCTACAGGCTCACACACTTCATTCGGGCTCAACAGGAGCCTTTTTGCAAACTAAAGACATCTGTGGTAGACTCAATCCATACCCTCAATTGAACCTAATGGTCGACACTCGGTCAACACTCGATCAACATCTCCATCGATACTCGACCAATGCTCAATCAATATCTTATTCAACAGTCAGTTGAGTGAAGACTAATTTTAGTGGACACACTTCACATATGAGCCGGTTGACGCTCTACCAACTATAGATCAACTGTCAATCATGTGTCAAAAATTCAGTGTCAATGGACTGCCAAACAAGATGTCAATGGAGTGTCAATCGAGGGTTGATCAATCCACACTTGACCCCAGATGTCTTTTATAGTCCATATGATCTGAGATACTAAATCACTGAGTGTTTTCCTCAGAGAACTGGAACATATCTCTTCAATAATGTACAAAACATTATGGCTCATCATCTCGTTGCCGTATGTATCCTATAAAAGCTAAAGAATGTAATCCCAAGCAGCGTGACACCTATGACAGAAGCATGGAAAATGTTTAAAAAGTTAATATTAAACTTCATGATCTGTGCTTTCACTCTTTTTAAGACATAAATAAATGAAATTAGTTATTAATAATAATTGTTCACTGCACAGTAATCTTCCCGGTAGATCATAACTGAGTGACATATTTTCAGTCTTACTCTTTTACCTCATTATATCAGTTACCGCAGCAGTTGAGGCATCTGTTTGTAATACCTTTAGCATGTAATCCAAAAATTCTTTAATTTCACTCTGGCATAAATAGTAACAGCTGAAAAAGATCAGTTAAAGAAAAAACTGAGTACATGAACAGCTGAGGATGGAGCTGAAGACCAACAAAGAAGGGACAATAAAACCCAGGGGATTAACTTAATATTAACATTAGTTTCTTGAATAGGGTGTGGTAGTGTAGTCACTCTTTCTTAAAAATATTTTGCACAGTTAAATCACACCCATTTCCATACATCATAGATGAAGTTCAACACATTTCACTTACCATATTACATCTGTTTCCAGGATTGTTTCTGTATCTCTCTGAAATCTTGTAACCTCAACAATGTCGCGCTCTTTAAGAGGGTCAATCCCGAGCTGAAACTGTCCTTCTCATGGGCTTGAAGGTCAATAGTAAGTTCTTGTTCCTTTTTCACCAACACCCACGCGTTCAGGTCTGTTTTTCGTACAACAACACTTCGTAGCTTGACATCATCTTCACCAAACAGATCAGAGATACAATGTAGCTGGCCTGCTTTTACAACTTTTGTCGTGTAGATTGGACAAAGTGTTGTTAGTTTCCGCAGAGTTTTCAAAACGTTCAAGTTCGTCAAAAAGCTGTGTTATGGTTTTTCGCGATTCTTTAAACTCCTCTGATTCCTTTTTGTCAACAAATTCCCTGATTACTTCTTCACCGTATTGGTACGTTTCATGGACCTGTTGAAGTGCGTAGTGAGTTCTGTCTTTCCACTTTGCTGGACTCTTACCTCAGGTAAGAATGTGTCACATCTTTCCAAAAACGTTTTACCTATCAGACAACCTTTGGAAAACTTTGTCAGTAATTCTTTGATGTTCCCACCTTCAGCGCTCATCGCTCTTCGGCACTTCCGAGATTGTTGTACCGATTTTGTCTTAAGGGAGGGGTAGGTGGAAATCTTCCACCCTTCCTCGAAAGTTTGTTAAACGTCTAACTTTTCCATTATAGCGCATTCTAAGATTATTCTACCCCAGACAGTAAAAGAAGCCCTATCATCTATATTTAAAAAGAGTGAAAAGGTACCTTACAGCCGACTATCGTCTATCCCCCTGTTAGGTGAGCGTTTGCTGTGTTTACGAACCCGCATAATTCTGAGAAACGTCACTGAAGGCCAATTTCGACGAATCGGCAGTCCCGTAGGTACTCGCTCGTTGGCTTTGCAGCGGAAGCGCCGTCCGTTACTCTGTAAAATTTGTCCTAATGAGCTAAACCAGAGCGTCAGCAAGCGTCGATTAAATGGACCACGAAGATAACTTCATCTGTCACAAAATGGCGATTTGCAGTGCGAGTTGAGACAGCGGAGACCGCGGGAACAATTTGCCTCGTCCTAAGGCTGAGATAGCTGAACTGAGGTAGGAAGTCTAGAAAGGTTTACGCACATCTTTGTAATGTATTTGGTTTGTTTTCTGGTGTTTACAGCCTTGTTATTGATCAGTTTCACATTGTGGAGTGCAGGGAGAACTTTTATTCCAATTGGTTGTTGAAATCATTCAGATACTACCGACCTATTGTTGTATTTCTGTATTACATTTTAGGCGGTTGAGTGATTCAATAGGGAAGGGAAAACCTCATCTGGAAGCCCTTAAATAAT